CAGTCACCCACTCACTCACTCACTCGCTCACTCGCCACCCACCCACTCACCCACGTCACCACCACCCACTCACACACTAACCTATTCACCCACCCACCACTCACTCACCCACCCACTCACACACAAATCCACTCGCCCAGTCACTGACTCACTCACCACCCACCCACTCACCCACTCACTCACCACCCACCCACTCACCCATACACCCACCCACCCACTCACCCACCCACCCACCCCACTCACTCACTCACCACCCACCCACTCACTCACCCACCACCCACCACCCACCCACCCACACCACCCACCCACCCACCCACCCACCCACTCACCCACCCACCCATCCACTCACTCACCCACTTACTCACCCAACCACCCACTCACTCACCCACCCACCCACCACCCACTCACTCACCCACCCACCCACACACCCACCCACCCACCCACCCACCCACTCACCAACCCACCCACCCACTCACCCACTCACTCACCCCACCCACCCACCCACCCACCCACCCGCCACCCACTCACTCACACCACTTCAACCCCACCCACACCACTCACTTCAGCTCACCCACCACTCACTCAGCCTCACTCACCAACCCACCCACTTACCCACCCACTTACCCACCCACCCACTCACGCCCACCACTCACTACCACCCACCCACCCACCCACCCACCCACCCAGCCCACTCACTTCCTTCACTCACTAACCCACCAACTCACCCACCCACTCACTCACCCACTCACTCACTCACCACCCACCCACCCACTTACCCACCCACCCACTCACCGAGCAGGTGAGCGTGCTGAACACTCGCCCCTTCCGGTGAACTCCGGCGCCACCTCCAGCGTGGTCGACTCTCCGGGGTCGAGGGTGACCACGGAGCGAGCCAGCCCCACGTCGACCACTCACCTCACCACCCACTCACTCACTCACTCACTCGCTCGCTCGCCCACACCACCCCCTCACCTACCCACTCACTCCCTCATCTCACCCCACCCACCCACTCACCCACCCACTCACCCACCCACCCACCCACCCACCCACTCACCAACCCACCCACTCACGTCACTCACTCACTCACCACCCACATCACTCACTCGCCCACCAACTCACCCAAACACTCACTCGCCCACCCACTCACCACACCACTCACTCACCTCACCCACCCACCCCACCACCCCACCCACCACCTCACTCACTCCACTCCACTCACTCACTCACTCGGCCCACCCACCACTCACTCACTCCTCCTCACTCGCCCACCACTCACCCACCCACCCACCACCCACCCACTCACACACACCCACGCACTCACCCATCCACCCACCCACCCACCCACCCACCCCACCACCACTCACTCACTCACCCCACCCACCCACCCACTCCCTCACTCACCCACCCACCCACTCACTCACTCACTCACCACCCACCCACTCACTCACCTACCCACCCACTCACCCACTCACTCAATCACCCACCCACCCACTCACCGAGCAGGTGAGCGGTGAGCGTGCTGAACACTCGCCCTCTGCCGGTGAACTCCGGTGCCACCTCCAGCGTGGTCGACTCCCCGGGGTCGAGGGTGACCACAGAGCGAGCCAGCCCGATGTCGACCACTCACCTCACCCACCCACTCACTCATCACCCACTCACTCACTCACTCGCTCGCCGCCCACCACCCACCCACGCACCCCCACTCACTCACTCACTCACCTCACTCACTCACTCACCCACGAACCCCCTCTCTCTCCCACCAACTCACCCAATCACTCACTCGCCCACCCACTCACTCACCCCACCCACTCACCCATCCACCCACCCACCCCACTCACTCACTCACTCACCCACCCACTCACCCACCCACCCACCCACTCACCCACCCCCCACCACCCACTCACCCACTCACTCACTCACTCACCCACTCACTCACTCACTCACCCACCCACCCACACACTCACCCACCCACCCACCCACACACTCACCCACTCACTCACCCACTCACTCACTCACTCACACCACCCACACACTCACCCACCCACCCACCCACACACTCACCCAATCACTCATCCACTCACACACCCAATCACACACTCACCCACCCACCCACACCACTCACCCACTCCACTCACCCCACTCACTCACTCACCCACCCACCCACCCACCCCACCCACCCACCACCCACCCACCCACCCCACCCACCCACCCACTCACCCACCCACTCACTCACTCACTCACCCACCCACCCACTCACCCACCCACCCACCCACTCACCCGCCCACTCACACCCCACCCACCCACCCACTCACTCACTCACCCACCCACCCACTTACCCACCCACCCACCCACTCACCCACCCACCCACCCACTCACCCGCCCACTCACACACCCACCCACCCACCCACTCACTCACCCACCTACTCACCCACTTACCCACCCACCCACTTCACCCACCCACCCACTCACCGAGCAGGTGAGCGGTGAGCGTGCTGAACACTCGCCCCTTCCCCGGTGAACTCTGGCGCCACCTCCAGCGTGGTCGACTTCTCCGGGGTCGAGGGTGACCACTGAGCGAGCCATCCCCGGCCTCGACCCCCACCAACCCCCTCCACGTGCACCGAGAATGACCCCCGAGGCGGATGGGGGGCACAGCAGGTGGAGGGTCGTGTTTCCCCTCGTCGCACAGAGTCAGCCCTGGGGGCGGGGGGCGGGGGGGCGGGGGGGCGGGGGGAGGGCGGGGTGGAGGGCTGGTGGGGAGGGCAGGGGGGGGCAGGTGAGGGGGGTTAAAGGTCACTCTGCGTTGCAGGGTCGGCGGGTGCTGAGTCTCTGTGTGTCTCTATGATCTCAGTGAGTCTCTATGATTCTCTATGAGACTCCGTGAGTCTCTGTGTGTCTCTATGATTCTCTATGAGACTCCGTGAGTCTCTGTGGTGTCTCTACGAGTCTCTATGAATGTATTTAGTCCTCTGGTGTGTCTCTATGAATCATCAGTGAGTCTCTATGATTCTCTATGAGACTCGTGAGTCTCTGTGTGTCTCTACGAGTCTCAATGAGACTCCGTGAGTCTCTGTGTGTCTCTACGAGTCTCTATGAATCTAATTTAGTCTCTGTGTGTCTCTATGAGTCTCTATGAATGTCAGTGAGTCTCTGTGTGTCTCTGCGTGTCTCTACGAGTCCTCTGTGAGACTCCGTGAGTCTCTGTGTGTCTCTATGAGTCTCTATGGGACTCCGTGAGTCTCTGTGTGTCTCTACGAGTCTCTATGGGACTCCGTGAGTCTCTATGTGTCTCTACGAGTCTCTATGAATGTCAGTGAGTCTCTGTGTGTCTCTGTGTGTCTCTGCCGCACCTGGGATGTGTCCCCGCTCGATGCCGTTGACGGTGTAGGTGAGTTTCTGTGTGTCTTTGTGAATCTCAGTGAGTCTCTGTGTATCTCTATGAGTCTCTGTGTGTCTCTGTGTGTCTCTATGAATCTCAGTGAGTCTATACGTATCTCTATGAGTCTATGTGAATCTCTATGAGTGTCTGTGTGTCTCTATGAGTCTCTGTGGATCTCTATGAGTCTCTGTGTATCTCTATGAGTCTCTGTGAATCTCTATGAGTCTCTGTGTGTCTCTATGAGTCTCTGTGAATCTCTATAAGTCTCTGTGTGTCTCTATGAGTCTCTACGTATCTCTATGAGTCTCCGTGTGTCTCTATGAATCTATATGAGTCTCTATGAGTCTCTATGAGTCTCTGTGTGTCTCTGTGTGTCTCTGCCGCACCTGGAATCTGTCCCCACTCGAAGCCGTTGACAGTGTAGGTGAGTCTCTATGAATCTCTACGTATCTCTATGAGTCTCTGTGTGTCTCTATGAATCTCTATGAGTCTCTGTGTGTCTCTATGAGTCTCTACGTATCTCTACGAGTCTCTGTGCGTCTCTATGAATCTCTATGAGTCTCTGTGAGTCTCTGTGTGTCTCTATGAATCTCTACGTATCTCTATGAGTCTCTGTGAGTCTCTATGAATCTATATGAGTCTCTATGAGTCTCTGTGAGTCTCCGCGTGTCTCTGCCGCACCTGGTATGTGTCCCCGCTCGAAGCCGTTGATGGTGTAGGTGAGCTCGCTGCGGGCGCTGTACCAGCTGTGAGCCTGCGAGTCGGAGGCGAACGCCAGCACGATGGATCGCTCCGCAAGCTTCTGACGGCCGTGCGCATCCAGCGAGCCTGGGGGGGGGGGTGCCGAGTTTGGAGGAGAGCCAGAGAGCCATGGGCTGGCTTGCAGAGCCGCAGACTTGCTCAGAGAGCCATAGACCGGTTCTGAGAGCCAGCGAGCCAAAGACTCACTCAGAGAGCCAGAAAGACATAGACTTCACTCAGTGAGCCATAGACTGGCTCAGACCGCCAGAGAGCCGTAGCTTCACTCGGAGAGCCAGAGACTGGCTCAGAGAGCCATAGCTTCACTCAGAGAGCCAGAGACTGGCTCAGCGAGCCAGAGGGTCATGGACTTACTCAGAGAGACTTAGACTCCCTCGGAGAGACGCTGGCTCGCTCAGAGAGCCAGAGAGCCATGGGCTGGCTTGCAGAGCCGCAGACTTGCTCAGAGAGCCATAGACCGGTTCTGAGAGCCAGCGAGCCAAAGACTCACTCAGAGAGCCAGAAAGACATAGACTTCACTCAGTGAGCCATAGACTGTCTCAGACCGCCAGAGAGCCGTAGCTTCACTCGGAGAGACGCTGGCTCGCTCAGAGAGCCAGAGAGCCATGGGCTGGCTCGGAGAGTCGCAGACTCACTCTGAGAGAGCCAGAGAGCCACGTGTTTCAGAGGCAGAGAGTCGTTGACTCCCTTGGAGAGACGCTGGCTCGCTCAGAGAGCCAGAGAGCCATGGGCTGGCTTGGAGAGCCGCAGACTTTCTCAGAGAGCCAGAGACCGGCTCTGAGAGCCAGCGAGCCAAAGACTCACTCAGAGAGCCAGAGAGACACAGACATCATCAGAGAACAAGAGAGCCATAGCTTCACTCGGAGAGCCATAGACTCGCTCAGACCGCCAGAGAGCCATAGCTTCACTCAGTGAGCCAAAGACTAGCTCAGTGAGCCAGAGGGTCATGGACTTACTCAGAGAGCCGTAGACTCCCTCGGAGAAACGCTCGCTTGCTCAGAGAGCCAGAGAGCCATGGGCTGGCTCGGAGAGCCACAAGACTCTCTCAGAGAGCCAGAGACCGGCTCTGAGAGCCAGAGAGCCACGTGGAGTCTATGTCTGAGAGCCAGAGAGACGTTGACTCCCTCGGAGAGACGCTGGCTCGCTCAGAGAGCCACACACACACACGTGTACACACACACAGACACGTGTACACACACACACACACGTGTACACACACACACGTGTACACACACACACACAGACACACACACACGTGTACACACACACACGTGTACACACAGACACGTGTACACACACGTGTACACACACACACACACACGTGTACACACACACACGTGTACACACACAGACACGTGTACACACACACACACGTGTACACACACACACGTGTACACACACACACAGACACACACACACGTGTACACACACACACACGTGTACACACACACACGTGTACACACAGACACGTGTACACACACGTGTACACACACACACACACGTGTACACACACACACGTGTACACACACACGTGTACGCACACACACGTGTACACACACACGTGCATACACACACGTGCACACACACACACGTGTACACACACACACGTGTACACACAGACACGTGTACACACACGTGTACACACACACACACGTGCACACACACACACACGTGTACACACACACGTGTACACACACACACCCGTGTACACACACACACACGTACACACACACACGTGTACACACACACACACGTACACACACACACGTGTACACACACACACGTGCACACACACACAGACACACACACACGTACCATTCCTACAGACGACGATCGCTCCGTAGAGCCCCGAGCCCGAGTCCTTGACGGTGTCCACGTGTGAGTGGTAGGCGTAGGTGAGGCACTCGGGGTCGACATCTGTGGGCCCCTCGGCCACCCGCCACACGTACGTGTGTCGCTGGCCGGGGGCCACGGCGTCGTCCGCCTTGTCCTGCTCGGTGGAGGTGCCGTCCGCGTAGGCGGCGCCTGGCGGAGGTCGAGCCGCGGCGGGGGGGGGCAGCATGAGTTTCGTCGTAAGTTTTGCGGTGAGTTTTGTCGTAAGTTTTGTCGTGAGTTTCGTTGTAAGTTTCATCAGAAGTTTCATCTTAAGTTTGATCATAAGTTGCGTCGTTAGTTGAGTCGTAAGTTTCATCGTAAGTTGCGTCATAAGTTTTGTCGTAAGTTTTGTCGTAAGTTTTAGCGTAAGTTGCGTCATAAGTTTCGTCGTAAGTTTTGTCGTAAGTTGCGTTGTAAGTTTTGCCGTGAGTTTCGTTGTAAGTTTCGTTGTAAGTTGCGTCGTTAGTTGAGTAGTAAGTTTCATTGTAAGTTTTGGCGTAAGTTTCATCGTGAGTTTCGTTGTAAGTTTCGTTGTAAGTTGCGTCGTTAGTTGACTCGTAAGTTTCATTGTAAGTTTTGGCGTACGTTTCATCGTGAGTTTCGTTGTAAGTTTCGTTGTAAGTTGCGTCGTTAGTTGAGTCGTAAGTTGCGTTGTAAGTTTTGCCGTGAGTTTTGTTGTAAGTTTCGTTGTAAGTTGCGTCGTTAGTTGAGTGGTAAGTTTTGTCGTGAGTTTGTCGTAAGTTTCATTATAAGTTTCGTCGTAAGTTTTGTCGTAAGTTGCGTGGTAAGTTGTGTCGTTAGTTGAGTCGTAAGTTTCATTATAAGTTTCATCGTAAGTTTTGCCATGAGTTTCGTTGTAAGTTTTGTCGTTAGTTGAGTCGTAAGTTTTGTCGTAAGTTTTGTCGTAAGTTGCGTGGTAAGTTTTGTCGTTAGTTGAGTCGTAAGTTTTGTCATTAGTTTCATTATAAGTTTCGTCGTAAGTTTTGTCGTTAGTTGAGTCGTAAGTTTCGTTGTAAGTTTCGTCGTAAGTTTTGTCGTAAGTTGCGTGGTAAGTTTTGTCGTTAGTTGAGTCGTAAGTTTCATTATAAGTTTCGTCGTAAGTTTTGTCGTAAGTTGCGTGGTAAGTTGCGTCGTTAGTTGAGTCGTAAGTTTCATTATAAGTTTCATCGTAAGTTTTGCCGTGAGTTTCGTTGTAAGTTTTGTCGTTAGTTGAGTCGTAAGTTTTGTCGTAAGTTGCGTGGTAGGCTTTGTCGTGAGTTTCGTCGTAAGTTTCATTATAAGTTTCGTCGTAAGTTGCGTGGTAGGCTTTGTCGTAAGTTGCGTGGTAGGCTTTGTCGTAAGTTGCGTTGTTAGTTTCATTGTAAGTTTCGTCGTAAGTTGCGTCGTTAGTTGAGTCGTAAGTTTCATCGTAAGCTGTGTTGTGAGTTTTGTCGTAAGTTTTATCGTAAGTTTCGTTGTAAGTTGCGTTGCAAGTTTTGACGTGAGTTGCGTTGCAAGTTTTGTCGTAAGCTGTGTTGCTTAGTTTTGTCGTAAGTTTCATTGTAACTTTTGTCGTAAGTTTCATCAGAAGTTTCATCAGAAGTTTAATCTTAAGTTTGATCATAAGTTACGTCGTTAGTTGAGTCGTAAGTTTCATCGTAAGTTTCGTTGTAAGTTTCATCGTAAGTTTCATTGTAACTTTTGTCGTAAGTTTCATCAGAAGTTTCATCAGAAGTTTAATCTTAAGTTTGATCATAAGTTACGTCGTTAGTTGAGTCGTAAGTTTCATCGTAAGTTTCGTTGTAAGTTTCATCGTAAGTTTCGTTGTAAGTTTTGTCGTAAGTTGCGTGGTAAGTTTTGTCGTGAGTTTCATTATAAGTTTAGTCGTAAGTTTTGTCGTAAGTTGCGTCGTAAGTTTTGTCGCAAGTTTCATTATAAGTTTTGACGTAAGTTGCGTGGTAAGTTGCGTCGTAAGTTTTGTCGTAAGCTTCATTGTGAGTTTCGTCGTAAGATTTATCGTAAGAGAGTCAGCGCCATATAACCTTCCAATCCCACTGCCGATCCCAAAGAGACAGAGAGACCCCTATTGATCCCAGACAAACTCCTACTGATCCCAGACAGACTCCTACTGATCCGAGAGAGACAGAGACCCAGAGAATCAGCGCCATATAACCTTCTAATCTCACTGCCGATCCCAAAGAGACAGAGAGAGACCCCCCAACTGATCCCAATCCTCATCCACAGAGGCAGATCCCTATAAGGGGGGTCCCTCTCCCCACTCACACCCTCCCCGCCCCCCCAGCCCCCCATCCCCTTGTCGAACTCACCCTCGGAGCTCTTGCGGTATGCGACGCCGTGAGCGTGCATGCTGTAGGGCTTGCTGGCCCTGTTGAGGAAGACCACTTCAATGGTGTCACCCACCTCCGCCCTCAACACGGGGCCCAGGAGACCTGGAGGGGAGGGGTGGGGGGGGTTGGGAGTTGAGGGGGGGTCAGTGGGACACTAGCCCCCCCCCCCCCTGCCCCCACGTGTCCAGCCATCGTGGTTGGAGTAGAAGTTGAACACGTGGTGGGCTTTCGCAACCAACGTCATCCACAATAGAGGTTTTTGTTTAATGGGTAGGGTGAGAACGTTGGCCGAAAATACAGCAGCGGGATTCGTGAGGGTCGGCGTCGAACCCACGACCTCCTGGGTACCAGGCGAGGTAGTTAACATCTCCTAGACACCGTGATGATGATGAGAGAGAGAGACGCAGACTCCACATATACAACAGGCATCGTCAGGGTCAGCGTCGAACCCACAACCTCCTGCGTACCAGGCGAGGTAGTCAACATCTCCTAGCCACTGTGGGTGTCAAGGTCGTGATCGAACCCACGACCTCCTGCGTACCAGGCGAGGTAGTCAACATCTCCTAGCCACTGTGGGTGTCAAGGTCGTGATCGAACCCACGACCTCCTGCGTACCAGGCGAGGTAGTCAACATCTCCTAGCCACTGTGGGCATCTGGGTTGGGATCGAAACCACGACCTCCTGTAGACCAGGCGACGTAGTTAACATCTCCTAGCCTCCGTGGCACGCCATGTACCTTGCCAGGGCTCTGTGGGGATATCGTCTTGGAAAGTCGCGTCTTTGTACCCCACGAACACGGCCTTGGTCTCCCAGCGTGCCCTGCGTGGAGCCAATCACAACGAGTGGGGGGGTGGGTAAAGTACCAAAATGGGGAACACGTGGGGGTCACGTGGGTAGTGGTGGAGCGGTGGGGGGGAGATCACTCGTAGCACACGGGTTCACTCTGTTATCATCGTCAACACCATTGTCAACATCAACGTCATCATCGTCATCATCGTCATCATTGTCGTCAACATCAACGTCATCATCGTCATCATTGTCGTCAACATCAACGTCATCATCGTCATCATTGTCGTCAACATCAACGTCATCATCGTCATCATCATCGTTAACATCAACGTCATCATCGTCATCATCATCGTCAACATCAACGTCATCATCGTCATCATCATCGTCAACATCAACGTCATCATCGTCATCATCGTCGTCAACATCAACGTCATCATCGTCATCATCATCGTCAACATCAACGTCATCATCGTCATCATTGTCGTCAACATCAACGTCATCATCGTCATCATCATCGTCAACATCAACGTCATCATCGTCATCATCATCGTCAACATCAACGTCATCATCGTCATCATCATCGTCAACATCAACGTCATCATCGTCATCATCATCGTCAACATCAACGTCATCATCGTCATCATCATCGTCAACATCAACGTCATCATCGTCATCATCATCGTTAACATCAACGTCATCATCGTCATCATCATCGTTAACATCAACGTCATCATCGTCATCATTGTCGTCATCATCGTCGTCATCATCATCATCATCATCGTTAACATCAACGTCATCATCGTCATCATCGTCGTCAACATCAACGTCATCATCGTCATCATCATCGTCAACATCAACGTCATCATCGTCATCATCATCGTCAACATCAACGTCATCATCGTCATCATCATCGTTAACATCAACGTCATCATCGTCATCATTGTCGTCAACATCAACGTCATCATCGTCATCATCATCGTTAACATCAACGTCATCATCGTCATCATCATCGTCAACATCAACGTCATCATCGTCATCATCATCGTTAACATCAACGTCATCATCGTCATCATCATCGTCAACATCAACGTCATCATCGTCATCATTGTCGTCAACATCAACGTCATCATCGTCATCATCATCGTCAACATCAACGTCATCATCGTCATCATCATCGTTAACATCAACGTCATCATCGTCATCATTGTCGTCAACATCAACGTCATCATCGTCATCATCATCGTCAACATCAACGTCATCATCGTCATCATCATCGTTAACATCAACGTCATCATCGTCATCATCATCGTCAACATCAACGTCATCATCGTCATCATTGTCGTCATCATCGTCGTCATCATCATCATCAAAGTCGTCATCATCGTCGTCATTATCGTCATCATCGTCGTCATCATCGTCATCATCGTCAACATCAGCGTCATCATTATCGTCATCATCGTCGTCATCATTATCATCATCATCGTCGTCATCATCATCGTCATTATCATCGTCATCATCGTCGTCGTCGTGATCATCATCATCGTCATCATCATCGTCATCATCGTCATCACATCATCGTCATCATCATCATCATCATCGTCATCATCGTCATCGTCATCATCGTCATCATCATCATCGTCATCATCATCGTCATCACATCATCGTCATCATCGTCATCACCATCGTCATCATCGTCATCACCATCATCATCGTTGTCATCATCATAGTCATCATCATCGTCATGATCGTCGTCATCATCATCATCATCGTCATCATCATCACCGTCATCATCATCGTCATCATCATCATCGTCATCATCATCGTCATGATCGTCGTCATCATCATCGTCATCATCATCATCATCGTCATCATCATCATCATCGTCGTCTCACCCTCGCGTCCCGAAGTCCCAGGGTCTCTCTTCGGCCGCCAGAAAGTGTCGCCACGTCCTGGCGTGACCCAGCGGCACCACCACCGCCACCACCACCACCAGCCACCACCTCATGGTGGGGCCTCAACCACCACCACCAACACCACTGCCTACTGCGTAGAGCTGATTGGAAACGAAAGGACAAATCGAGATGCAGTTCATGTTAATGATGGTGGTGGTGATGCTAATGATGGTGGCAGTGGCAGTGATGGTGGCGATGATGATGGTGATGGTAGAGGTGATGGTGACGGTGATGTTAATGATGGTAGTGATGATGTTGACGATAATACACTATACACTACTATACATGACTATACACTATACACTACACTAGACACTACTCTACTATAAACTACATTATACATTACACTATACACTACTATAAACGACACTATACACTACTATACACTATACTATGCACTACTATACACTACACTATACACTACACTATACACTACTCTATACACTACACTATACACTACTATACACTACACTATACACTACACTGTACACTACTATACACTACACTATACACTACACTGTACAAGGAAGTTCAACGGACATTCTTACAAACAAACAGACACACAAACGTACATATAGGTACACACACAACGCCACAACCAGAACAAAAATAGACATTCGCCACAAATTGGTGGTGACATCACCACGACGCTTGTGCCAGGCCAAGTGCACCTTGAGGCCACGTGAAGTGTCGAACGCCCGCTGGCAGGAGGTCACGGGGCAGACCCAGGTGCCACGGGTCGACTGACTGAGATGACCGAGATGACTGGCTGATGCACCACCTGTGCCCCCTACTGTGCCAACTTGCTGTGCTTTAGCCACCCGGCGCTACGCTCGTTGTTGTGAGCGTCGCTCCTCCGCCCTCCGTTGTTGTTGGAGGGCGACTGCCTCCAACTGCCCAGTAGCGTCCTTCACGAGCCTCCTCTACAGAGGCCGTTCTTGACACCGCTGGTACCGGTCATTGGTAAGTCCACTTAGCTCCACATCCTCCTGTACCACATCACTCCATCTCTTCTCCAGCCCGTGCCACGCCCGTTTAGCCCCCTCGATCCGGCTGAACAAAAGTTATTTAGGCATGCGGTGGCTGGGCATGCGGGCTACATGACCCAGCCAACGCAGCCTTGCCTGCCATAGGAGCTCACCGATGGGGCTTTGTCCAGATCTTTCAAGGATTTTTGAGCTCTTCACACAATCCAGTCTGGTTCAACCCAAGATGGATCGTAGGCAGGCCAGCCTAAATGTTTCTAACTGGCGACAATGTTCCACTAGCGGGGTCCACGTTTTGCAAGAATAGAGGGAGGTTATGACCGTGGCCGAGAAGACCTGAAGCTTCGTGCGGAGTGACAAACCAGGTAGCTTCCACACAGCGTTACACAACCGATGAAAAGATGATGCCGCTCGACTGATTCGGAGTGAGACCTCTGCTGTTAAACCGGAGCCGGTCATGAGCACACTGCCCAGGTATGGGAAACTCTCCACTCTCTCCACAACTGCCCCATCACCGATTGGGAGTTGTGGGGGTGGAGTGCCCGATGGTACAAAATACCCAGGCAGGTGCTTCGTTTTAGTGGGGTTGATGGTAAGGCCCCACCTTTTAGTGGCACACTCCAGTTTCAGCAGCAGCGTCTCCAACTCCTTCTCTGAGTGAGCCGCAATTACCAGGTTGACCAATAGGGAGCCATCTTTTGACCGCACCCGGGCATCGATCAGAGTGTAGATCAGCTCCACGGTAGGTCCTGGTGTCAAGGACATGGGCCCGCATCCACTGGTCCTTCACTACGTAGTCCAGCAGATGTTCTTGCTTAGACCCGGCATGCATCCATGATGTTGTATGGATGCGCCGATGCTGGAACAGCGTGTTGGTAATTACAAGTCCATGGGCTGCACAACAATCTAGCAGCCTCCTACCGTTGTTTTTGAGCTGATCTGGCCCATGCCTTCCAATCACTCCAGACCAGGTGCCAGCATCATGACCAACTCGGGCATTAAAGTCACCCAACAAGATGACTCTTTCCCGAGGGGCCACTTTAGCTAGCACCTGTGACAGGAGTTTATAGAAGGCATCTGACTCATCAGCCTGGCCTGCATCCCTCCACGGATGTTCGTCTTCGGTCGGGACATAAGTAACCACGACCACCACTCCTCGCCTCCGGTTGATGGCAAGGCAAGCCCAAAGTAGCCTGGGGCTTACAGCTTCCCACACCTTACTGCCACGCTCCCACGCCCCCTTCATTATTTTGTTCAGAAGAAGAGCCACTCCCTGTTGTTTGGCAGTCTCCTGCCTCGAGTAGAAGACTGTCCACCCCTCATGGTGGCAGGAGCCAGAGCCGGTCCACCGGACCTCCTGAATACCACAGATATCCAGGTGGTACCGGTCCAGCTCCCGACAGAGGAGTGGCAGCCTCTCCTCCGCAGTGAGCGTTCGAACATTCCATGTGGCCATTCGTAGTGGCTTTTTTGTTGTTGTTTCTGGAGGAGCCCCGAGGGTGAAAATTCAATCTCCTGGCTCCGCCAAATGGGGTTTGGCCAGGAGACAGCATAGACGCCTGTCCCCCCGGGGCCTCCGGCACAATCTTGTTAATAACATTTTTTGTTTGTAGTTTAGGGGTTACCAGCCCCTCGCACCCATCCAGAGCCCCCATTTAGCCGCTGTAGTGGTCACAGACGCCACGCACACACACACACCACACACACACACACCACACACACCACACATACACACTACCGCAAACACACACCGCACACACACATCACACACACATCACACACACACCACACACACACACCGCACACACACACATCGCACACACACCGCACACACACCACACACACACACCAACACACACACACACCACACACACACACCACACACACACACCACACACACCACACACACCGCGCACACACACACCACATACACTGCACACACACATCACACACACATCACACACACACATCACACACACACCACACACACACACCACACACACCACACACACACACCACACCCACCACACACACCACACACACACACCCCACACACACACACACACACCACACACACACCACACACACCACACACACACACCACACACACACACCCCACTTACACACACCACACACACCACACACACACACCACACACACACACCACACACACACACCACACACACACCCCACACACACACACCACACACACACACCACACACACCACACACACACACGCACACACACACCACACACACACACCACACACACACACCACACACACACACCACACACACACACCACACACACACACCACACACACCACACACACACACGCACACACACACCACACACACACACCACACACACACACCACACACACACACCACACACACACACCACACACACACGAGGGGGACACGTGCCCACACCGAGCTCGCTGGGGCTTGGTGCGCTAACCGCTGCACCACCGCTCCCCAACGGAATGGAACAACAACAATACCATCAACAACACCCACACCACCACCATCATCAACAACAACAACACCCACACCACCATCATCAACAACAACAACACCCACACCACCACCACCATCATCAACAACAACACCAATACCACCACCACCATCATCAACAACATCATCAACACCACCACCACCAACACCAACAACAACACCCACACCACCACCACCACCACCATCAACAACAACACCCACATCATCATCATCAACAACATCACCCACACCACCACCACCACCATCAACAACAACACCCACATCATCATCATCATCAACAACATCACCCACACCACCACCACCACCATCAACAACAACACCCACATCATCATCATCAACAACATCACCCACACCACCACCATCACCACCAACACCACCACCACCATCACCACCAACACCATTACCACCAACACCACCATCACCACCAACACCACCACCATCACCACCATCACCACCAACACCACCACCATCACCATCATCACCAACACCATCACCACCAACACCACCGCCATCACCACCAACACCACCATCACCACCACCACCACCATCACCACCAACACCACCACCACCACCATCACCACCAACACCATTACCACCAACACCACCATCACCACCAACACCACCACCATCACCATCATCACCAACACCATCACCACCAACACCACCACCACCATCACCACCAACACCACCATCACCACCAACACCACTACCATCACCACCAACACCACAACCACCACCATCACCACCAACACCAACACTATCACCACCACCATCACCACCAACACCACCACCACCATCAACAACATCACAACCACCACCACCACCAACACCACCACCAACAACAACACCACCCACACCACCACCACCACCAACAACAACACCACCCACACCACCACCAACAACACCATCCACACCACCACCACCCACACCACCACTATCACCACCAACACCACCACCACCATCATCACCACCAACACCACTACCATCACCACCCACACCACCACCACCACCAACAACACCACCACCACCACCATCAACAACATCACAACCACCACCACAATCAACACCACCCACACCACCACCAACACCACCACCATCACCACCAACACCAACACCACCAACACCACCATCACCACCAACACCACTACCATCACCACCAAGACCACCACCACCATCACCCACACCACCACCATCAACAACACAACCATCACCACCAACACCACCACCATCACCACCAACACCAACACCACCAACACCACCATCACCACCAACACCACTACCATCACCACCAACACCACCACCATCACCACCAACACCAACACCACCAACACCACCATCACCACCAACACCACTACCATCACCACCAACACCACCACCACCATCACCCACACCACCACCATCAACACCACCACCACCAACACCACCACCATCACCACCAACACCAACACCACCAACACCACCATCACCACCAACACCACTACCATCACCACCAACACCACCACCACCATCACCCACACCACCACCATCAACAACACCACCATCACCACCAACACCACAACCACCACCATCACCACCAACACCACCATCAACAACACCACCAACAACACCACCCACACCACCATCAACACCACAACCAACAACACCACCAACACCACAACCACCATCACCACCACCACCACCGCAGCAGCACTCCCTTGTCCCTCTGGCAGCATGAACTATTGGCAAGGTAATATATAAATAAATAACAAAAATAACAATAATAATAAATAAATAATGATGATGTTGATGATGAACATAGCCACGTGAACTTGGGAGCAAGTCGACACAGGAATTCAGTCCCCTGCGCATATTTGGGATGGTTCATTGAAGCCTGCGGATGGGGAGAAGTGGAGATTCACGCAGAGAGACTCCAAGTCTGTGTGTGTCTCTGTGTGTGAGTCTGTGTGTGTATGTGTGTGTCTCTGTGTGTGAGTCTGTGTGAGTCTGTGTGCAGAGTCTGTGTGTGTGTGTGTGTCTGTGTGTGTCTGTGTACGGAGTCTGTGTGTGAGTCTGTGTGTGTCTCTGTGTGTGAGTCTGTGTGAGTCTGTGTGCAGAGTCTGTGTGTGTGTGTGTCTGTGTACGGAGTCTGTGTGTGAGTCTGTGTGTGTGTCTGTGTGTGAGTCTGTGTGTCTGTGTACAGAGTCTGTGTGTGTCTGTGTGTGTCTGTGTCTGAGTCTGTGGTTCATCGAAACCTGTGGATGGAGAGAATAGAGATTGACGTAGACAGAGACTCCAAGTCTGTGTGTGTCTCTGTGTACGGAGTCTGTGTGTGTGTCTGTGTGTCTGTGTACAGAGTCTGTGTGTATCTGTGTGTGAGTCTGTGTGTGAGTTTGTGTGTGTCTGTGTGTCTCTGTATCTGAGTCTGTGTGTGTCTGTGTGTGAGTCTATGGTTCATTGAAGCCTGCGGATGGAGAGAATAGAGATTCACGCAGACACACTTCAAGTATGTGTGTGTCTGTGTACAGAGTCTGTGTGTGTCTGTGTACAGAGTCTGTGTGTGTCTGTGTACAGAGTCTGTGTGTCTCTGTGTGTCTCTGTGTGTGAGTCTATGGTTCATTGAAGCCTGCGGATGGAGAGAATAGAGATTCACGCAGACACACTTCAAGTATGTGTGTGTCTGTGTACAGAGTCTGTGTGTGTCTGTGTACAGAGTCTGTGTGTCTCTGTGTGTCTATGTGTGTGAGTCTATGGTTCATTGAAGCCTGCGGATGGAGAGAATAGAGATTCACGTAGACAGACTCCAAGTATGTGTGTGTGTCTGTGTGTGAGTCTGTGTGTGTCTGTGTGTGTGTCTGTGTGTGTCTGTGTACAGAGTCTGTGTGTGTCTGTGTACAGAGTCTGTGTGTGTCTGTGTGAGTCTGTATGTCTGTGTACAGAGTCTGTGTGTGTCTGTGTGAGTCTGTGGGTCTCTGTGTGAGTCTGTGGGTCTCTGTGTGAGTCTGTGGGTCTCTGTGTGAGTCTGTGGGTCTCTGTGTGAGTCTGTGGGTCTCTACGTGAGTCTGTGGGTATCTGTCAAGCGGCACGTGTGTAAACACAAACAACACGGACTCAACTTGACGTGACAGATTGAATCCTTGAACCAACTGCATTCACAGACACACCCACTCACACACACACTCACCCACTCACCCACTCACCCACCCACTCACCCCCTCAACCACCCACCCACTCACCCACCCACCCACCCACTTACCCAATCACTCACCCACCCACTCACTCACACACCCACTCACTCACACACTCACTCACTCATCCACCCACCCACCCACTTACACACTCACTCACCCACCCACTCACCTACCCACTCACCCACCCACCCACTCACACACTCACTCACACACCCACTTACCCACTCACCCACCCACCCACTTACTCGCCCACTCACACGCCCACTCGCTTAACTCACTCACCCACTCACCCAAAGCGATGGACACCAAATGCCATGGGTTGACTGCCGTGCCAGGCTAGGTGCAGGAGGATGTCACGGGACAGACCCAGCAGGTGCCACGGGTTGGCCGACTGAGATGACCGGTAGATGCACCACCAGCTGTACCCCCTACTGTGCCAGGCTAGGTGCAGGAGGAGGTCACGGGACAGACCCAGCAGGTGCCACGGGTTGACTGACTTCAGATGACCGGTAGATGCACCACCAGCTGTAACCCCCTACTGTGCCAGGCTAGGTGCAGGAGGAGGTCACGGGACAGACCCAGCAGGTGCCACGGGTTGACTGACTTCAGATGACCGGTAGATGCACCACCAGCTGTAACCCCCTACTCTGCCAAATCCCTGCGTTTTATCTGCCCGGCGCTTCGCTCGATGTTGTGAGCGTCGCTCCTCTGCCCTCCGTTGTTGCTGGAGGGCGACTGCCTCCAACTGCCCAGTAGCAGCAGCAGCGTCCTTCACGAGCCTCCTCCATCTCTTATCTAGCCCGTGCCACCCACTCACCCACCCACTCACCGACTCACCCACCGACTCACCCATCAGCTCCATCTCTTCTCTAGCCCGTGCCACCCACTCACCCACCCACTCACCCACTCACCCACCGACTCACCCATCAGCTCCATCTCTTCTCTAGCCCGTGCCACCCACTCACCCACCCACTCACCCACTCACCCACCGACTCACCCATCAGCTCCATCTCTTCTCTAGCCCGTGCCACCCACTCACCCACCCACTCACCCACTCACCCACCGACTCACCCATCAGCTCCATCTCTTCTCTAGCCCGTGCCACCCACTCACCCACCCACTCACCCACTCACCCACCGACTCACCCATCAGCTCCATCTCTTCTCTAGCCCGTGCCACCCACTCACCCACCCACTCACCCACTCACTCACCCACTCACCCACCCACTCACCCATCAGCTCCATCTCTTCTCGAGCCCGTGTCACCCACTCACCCACCCACTCACCCACTCACCCACCGACTCACCCATCAGCTCCATCTCTTCTCTAGCCCGTGTCACCCACTCACCCACCCACTCACCCACCCTCTCACCCACCCACCGACTCACCCACCGACCCACTCACCCATCAGCTCCATCTCTTCTCAAGCCCGTGCCACTCACCCACCCACTCACCCACTCACTCACCCACTCACCCACCCACTAACTCACCCACCACCCCTCTCTCTATGTGCTGCCCAACAGAAGCTGCTTGCTGAGCCACGTGATGGCTGGGCATGCGGGACACGTGACCCAGCCGACCTCACTTGCAGATGATGATGATGATGAAGACGATGATGATGGTGATGATGGTGATGATGAAGACGATGATGATGGTGATGATGATGGTGATGATGAAGACGATGATGATGGTGATGATGGTGATGATGAAGACGATGATGATGGTGATGATGATGGTGATGATGACGATGATGATGGTGATGATAATGGTGATGATGACGATGATGATGGTGATGATGATGGTGATGATGATGATGGTGATGATGGTGATGATGATGGTGGTGATGATGGTGGTGATGGTGATGATGATGACGGTGATGATGGTGATGATGGTGATGATGATGGTGGTGATGGTGATGATGAAGACGATGATGGTGGTGATGATGAAGACGATGGTGATGGTGATGATGATGGTGGTGATGATGGTGATGATGAAGAAGGTGGTGATGGTGATGATGGTGATGATGGTGATGGTGATGATGAAGACGATGATGATGGTGATGATGGTGATGAAGATGGTGATGATGATGGTGATGATGGTGATGATGGTGATGATGATGGTGATGATGGTGATGATGATGGTGATGATGATGGTGATGATGGTGATGATGATGATGGTGATGATGGTGATGATTAAGACTATGATGATGGTGGTGATGATGATGGTGGTGATGATGAAGACGGTAATGATGGTGGTGATGGTGGTGATGGTGATGATGGTGGTGATGATGAAGACGATGATGATGGTGATGATGATGGTGATGATGATGGTGATGATGATGGTGATGATGAAGACGATGATGATGGTGATGATGAAGACGATGAAGACGATGTTGAAAATGGTGTTGATGGTGATGATGATGGTGATAATGAAGACGATGATGATGGTGGTGATGATGGTGATGATGGTAACTGTGTTGGCCAGATCGTTCAAGGTGACTCCGTGAGCTGCTCACACATCCACAAGGTGCCGCCTCGCTCCGCGTGGGTCGCCGCGTGCGGCTAGGAGACTCGGGGAAGCGGTCCCGTCCGAATGTTGCATTGTTGATTGAAAAGTACAAAAGATCCACCACCAACAACACCAACAACAACATCAACACCACCAACACCGCCGCCAACACCGCCAACATCACCAACAACACCACCACCAACACCACCAACACAACCACCAACAACACCACCAACAACACCACCACCAACACCACCACCAACACCACCAACACCACCACCAACACCATCACCACCACCAACACCACCAACACAACCACCAACAACACCATCAACACCAACACCACCACCAACACCACCGCCACCACCACCAACAACACCACCGACACCACCAATACCACCACCAACACCACCACCAACAATACCAACACCACACACACACAGACACATACACAGACACACACACCACACACAGAAACACACACAGACACACACACATGGACACACACACAATGACACACATAGACACACACACAGTGACACACACACAGACATATAGACACACAGTGACACACACACACAGTGACACACACACACAGTGACACACACACATAGACACACAGTGACACACACACACAGTGACACACACACAGTGACACACACACACAGTGACACACAGTGACACACACACACAGTGACACACACACAGTGACACACACACAGACACACACACATACACACACAGTGACACACACACACAGTGACACACACACACACATAGACACACACACAGTGACACACACACACAGACACACACACAGTGACACACACACACAGTGACACACACACAGTGACATACACACATAGACACACAGTGACACACACACACAGTGACACACACACAGTGACACACACACAGTGACTCACACACACACATAGACACCCACATACACACACACAGTGACACACACACACACAGTGACACACACACACAGTGACACACACACACACACAGTGACACACACACACAGTGACACACACACAGTGACACACACACACAGACACACACAGTGACACACAGACACACACAGTGACACACACACACACAGTGACACACACACACAGTGACACAGACACACACACACAGTGACACACACACACACAGAGACACACACACAGTGACACACAGACACACACACAGTGACACACACACACAGCGACACACAGACACACATACAGTGACACACACACACAGTGACACACACACACAGTGACACACAGTGACACACACACACACAGTGACACACACACACAGACACACACAGTGACACACACACAGACACACACAGTGACACACACACACAGACACACACAGTGACACACACACACAGACACACACAGTGACACACACACACAGTGACACACGGTCTCACGTGCCGCCAGGTAGCCTCTGCACCCGAAACGTCGCCTACCGTCCCCTGCGAGCCGATGGAAATCGATCCCGGGGGGGGGGGTCTCTCTCGTCAGCTCAGCAATCGGTGCGCTAACCGCTGCGCCACCGCTCCCCTAGCCCCCCTCCCCCCTCTCTCAAAGTGTCTCTCCACCCCAGAGCACTCACGCAGGACGACGGTTCGAGTCGGGGACCTTCACGAGGAGAGCGAAGCGGGTGCAGAGGAGCGCGCGCTGTGGGGCAGGGCGCAGCGCGAGACGCTAGTTGGTCGAGCGGGGGAGGGGGGAGGGGGGGGGGAGGAGGGGGGGGGGAGAGTGGGGGAGAGGGTGGGGTGGGGGTGGGGGGTGGGGGGTGGGGGGTGGGGGGGGGAGAGGGAGGGGGAGTGGGGGTGGAGTGGTGGGGGGG